TATTTTAGACACCGTTTGTGTTTCTGCTTAGGGCTCCGAGATTTGTACGAAACAAATACTCTAGAAACTAAGTTTGAAAAATCTTCCAGGTTAAAGAACGTAAATTTTTTTCCCGGGCAAAAGTATGGGGGTAGGTTTTTCTCCACAGCAACTGTGTTTTGGTTTGAAACATTCAAAAATCAAGCTCGAAATGGAGGCCGGTGATTGGCTAATGACATTTTGTAAACAAACCCGTTGATTGGTCTAGAACAAAATGTGCTCTTGTTTAGGACTTTTTATACTTACGGCATTTATAAAAATTCACTGATAAATTTTTCTTCTAGTATTTTGTAGCAAATGGGGGTTGCTCACATTGATAGAAAAAATAACGGTCATGGGAAACAACGTTTCTTCAAGGCTCCACCCTATTTCATGCGAAATGTGCAATAATTTATTGTACTTAGATTTAGGTATGCTATAAATGAAGTCTGCACTGATCTAGAGATTCCGCAATAAAGATATGGTCATTTAAGAAATTTGTTGATTTGTAACCATAGAATGTTGTGACAGAGGCCTAACATGCAAATCTGCATGGGAGATATCTTTTTGGTGACACTTCGTTAGTGTTTACGGCAACACAGTTCTGTCACTTGGAGATTCAAGAAAGCTAAAAGCAGCTGCCAGATTTAGGCCCCATGGCGTCAAATGCAATAGTTACGCATTGCTAAACTAATTCTTTTGGATCACTCTGTTACGATAGAGAGAATTGTCTGCAACCACTCATTTCTTCATAGTGGCAGAATGATGAAGAAAAAAGATTAGAAATCCAATTTAGGCCATAAAACGAATAGCGAGAAGCAAGATAAACAAACATGTGCAGCCTCGTATCTATTTACACTTGATTGAGGTTTTGGTATTTCAATAGCTGCGCCTTTAACACATGTTCCCACAGAGCAAAGATGGCAGATATGCCGTATTTCTTTTGTAAGTTGGCAATGTTAAGGAAATGGAAAAAGAATTTGGAAAAGAGGGAGGAAACATCAAGCTTGTATATTTTTATGAGAAGGATTTTTAACCACCAACTACGCTTTTGGTACTGCAAACTTTGAAGATAGCAAAGCGGCAACATAATATACAAAGTATTTTTCGTCTGACATTCCTTACAGTTTAAATGACGGTTTTTCTGTTTTTCATAATGACATTTTTTATAACTGGGAAGTTTATCTGATATAGAAAATACAGTTACTGAATTTTAAAACTACTTTCGATTCATTGTGTCTCTCTAGGACTAGTGATAAAAAACTAAAACTGAAATGAACAGAATATAATTCTTTACCAAATAACGAGATAAAACAACATTTCAGGTTTTATTTCGAGTATCAATCAGTAATCAATTCACATCAATTGAAGTTTCAATTCTGGACGTGTTGCTGCTTCTGGGCTTTAAAGTCTATTCTTCTCGTTTACATGATAAACTGACATGATTGAAAGCAGGAGAGTTTATTAGATGTTCCTCCTTTATTTGGAAATGAAAATCCAAAGACCTGCTCGAATTTTTTTTGAGGGTTTTATAGAGCCTATTAATCAATAGCATCGTGTGATTTAAAGGAAGACCAAGTACTTTGCCGTGTAAGATTTCGTGGTAATGCTCGGAGATGAACTCAAAACATAACATGCATTTTCTGCTTGAAAGGGTTTTTTCATTTTTCCAAAATATATTAACTAGAAAACCGTGAATTTTTTAAGAAGGAATCCGCTGATATTTTTTTGAGTGGAATTTTTGTCATGTGTATATTATTCCATACCCCGTCTTAATTTATATTATCATTCAACTGATCAATTTCATCCAAAACTTCCGCTAACACCTTTCTACGTTTTCTACTAAGTCTCTTGCGCTGAAATATTGAATGGATTGGTCTTAGGGCCTGTTTATATGGAGAAAATCGCCCCACCATCAAGCCTGTGTGAAACGTAATCATCTACATGTAAACATTCGATGATTTCATCCCACCTTCCACCTTACGGGCTGAGAGGCGGGACAAATTTACTCATATAAACAGGCCCTTTCAAACTTTTTGGTAGTTTTGATAGCTCCGTCATAAAATATGTCTTTTAGATATAAGAGGAAAACCACCTGGCTCTGATTTGATGAAATTTAGGCTATAGATAGCCCCTCGAAAGGTCATTGCAGTTGCTAAACTCGCGTGAAGAATCTTTCTCTATATTGGAAACTTTTGACAACCAAGCCATTTGATATACAGCAATGTTATTTTTTATATTAGTTAGCCTTACACCTCATTTTTTCCAGATCAGCGCACAGCAAAGATAACTTCACTTCAGGTCTCTTTCCCACCCATTCAAAATCTAATTAATATTTTTTGGGTTCTTTCAGAATAGGAATTGGTTTTGAAAACATGTCGGTTTTGCACCATAAATCTAAAAGTTAAAAATGTATAAATAGAAGAGCTTTATTTTTCTGTATATTTCTTTTATTTCTTCCTCGTATTATTTGAGTTGTCTAAATACTTCTATAAGTGTAATGTTGTTTGTAAGAAATATTTTGATATCATTGGCATGCCATTTCGGATTTAAGCATTTTCTGCTCTACATCATTTCTACGAATCCATCTATATCATTTTTACACCGGATTTGGTATCTTATCGAAACACTCTAGTTACTGAAGCCTTTGCTGATAGAGAACTGTTTACTTTTGTCTGGCAAAATCGTAGGAAACATAAGAGCTAAGAGGGATGCAGCCTCCCTAAAAAGGCAAGTTTTTTTTGAAGGAAAATTTAGAGTTACACATTTTTCTCGGGAGCGATGTGTAGAAGAAAAAATTATTTGTTCTTATAAGTATAAGCAAAATGTACATGATGCGCTGTTACAGGTAGCTTGTGCTCCAGACCAGTGACGTAGCCAGGGTTCGAAGATTTGAGGGACAAAGAGGAGTCCGACAGCAGAGGGTCCGGGTCTTTACCCCCGGGAACATTTCTGTCGACCACACCCTCAAGAATTTGGGAAAACGCCCCATTTTGTAAATGCTTTTTGAAAAGTCATGGCCTTTTGTGTGGCAATGGTTGGCTAATCAAAATGATCAAACACAATAAGCGTCTTATGTAGCTTTTTGTGGCTGACGGCCATTCTACAACTGTCTATTTCCTTCACTATTCTTCAGCATTTCAGAATCCTGTTTTTTAAGGATTGAAGTGCTTCAGCCCTTAAAGACTCATTGCTAACAATGGGCCTTTGCGAGCGTGGCGACGGTCCAAACAATGGCAGTAATTGATTTTAGACAGTCTAAAAAAGCATTATGGGATGCTTACGTAGCGCAATGGCTTATTGTTAGCAATGAGTCTTTAAGTTTCTATTTCATCGGGAATTTCTAAAGAGCGTGTAGGACATTTCTGTATAAACTTTAAAAAGAGGGGAAAACAAATCAGCAGAGGTACAGACGAGGGTCCCCTGCGAGCGAGTAGAAAACTTGTGACCACTCCCTTTAGATGAGCTTAAAACTTCATAATATTTCTTACAGCCCTTTGCTTGCAGTCTTTGCTTGCAGTCTTTGCTTGCAGTCTTGGTTTGCAGTCTTTGCTTGCAGTCTTGGCTTGCAGTCTTTGCTTGCAGTCTTTGCTTGCAGTCTTTGCTTGCAGTCTTTGCTTGCAGTCTTTGCTTGCAGTCTTGGCTTGCAGTATTTAAAACGTTCCAATTTTGTTCGAAATATCAACTCCCCCCCCCCCCTCATCCACCTGAGATACTAATTTTAGTGCAGATTTGCACTTTTCTCAGACTCCACTTTTCTGTGCATTTGGGCCGCCCCCTCCCTTATCCCCCTCGCTACGGTACTGCTCCAGATCCCTTACTCGAAAATAGAGGTTTGTTATTGTTAATAAGACATTGTTATTAAGCATGTTCAATTGCAATGCTCATCGGTACTATAACTTAG